TGAAAAGCGGCAAATAAAGTGTTCTGTTCATTCATTCATTCATTCATTCAATCATAATTCAATCAAACCTTTGTGAGCTCTATCTCACACTGCCCCCTGAAAAAAAAGACTCTAAAATTCTCTCCTTGATGATTTTTAATGAATAGCTAGCATGATCATGTTATTCTAAAATGTTTTTTAAAAAATCGATTTTTTCATCAAAATGTCTACACAGAAAAATAAAAAAACAAAAAAACTTCACACTCACCTCTTCGTCTTTCTTTCCCCAAACATCCGTCGCCACAGGCGGCCCAGAAGAACCCCCGTTTGTCTGCGGCGGCGGCGGCGGCGGAGGCGGTTTCCTCGCCGGCTTCCCCAACCTACTGCTCCCCATCACCACCCCGACAGCCGCCCTCGTCTCAACAGCCGCCACCGTCGTCGTCGTCGTCGTCCCCGGCGTCGTCAAGACCTTCTTCTTCCACTCGATAGTATCAAATTCACTCGGGGAATGATCCAACAAAGACGCGTCATTCGTGTCCAACAAATCCTCGTCCGGATCGCCGCCACTCCTTCTACCACCGCCGCCGCCGCCGCCGTTCACCACGAGACCGCCGTAATAATCCGCCAGCGAATAAAACGCGTCCGGCTCGAGCACTTGCTCAGTTCTGCTCCCACGGCGTCCCGCCGCCATCGCCGCCGCCACTCCGACACCCAACGAAGTCAAACTCTGCCAGCGTTTCGGCGCCGTTCGTCTACTGCCGGGCGGCGGTTGTTGTTGGTGTTGTGACACGACAGTCACGGGTTTCCGCACAGGCGGCGGCGGCGGCGGTGGCGGCGGCGCCCACGACCGCCCAGTCGCCTCGGCGAGACTGAACCGCCGCCAGATTTTAGTTCTCAAATACGCCGCCTTGCTCGACACGTCCGGCACGCTGTCACACAGGGCGTCGTTTCGCGGCTTGAGAAGCAACAATGACGACGACGACGATGACAACGACGTCAGTGGCGGCACTACTGCTCCCGACGGCGGCATGTGGAAGGCGTTGTTGTTGTTGTTGTTGTTGTTGTTTTGGTGGTGCTGGTGAAGATGATGAGTGGCGGACAGTCGGGGGCGGTGTTGGTGGTGCTGCTGGCGCATGTTGTTATTATTATTATTATTATTATTACTATTGGTGGTGGCGGCGGCCGAGTGGCTGGAGGCGGATGACGAGGACGACGAGGACCAGGACGGAGTGGGCTTCGAAGACACCACAACGTCTTCGATGTAGGTGCAGTTGAACTTGGGCTGAGGTGGTTGGTATTGTGACTGGTGGTGGTGGTAATTTTGATTGTGGTGGTGGTGGTGGTGGTGGTGGTGCTGAGGCGGCGGTGGCGGAGGCGCCCACGACCGACGCGTCGCTGGAAACGGACGCTGCGAAAAAAATGATATGAAAGACTTTAATTCGTCAATTTTTCTTCTTTTGGCATCATTCTGCCTTTCTTCAAATTTTTCATTCAAAATGTGACTGTGACTGTTGCTGCGAAGGAATGAAATAAAAGACTTTAATTCGTCAATTTATTTCTTTTGGCATCATTCTGCCTTTCTTCGAGGAAATAATTTCTATAATCCCCAGAATTATTCTCTGTATGACATATCAAACTGTTTTCGAATACAGAAACTTCTAAAAGTTGCCTAATAATTCAAATGTTCACTGAACCACTCAAGAAAAAATGCTCTTGATATATTTTGAAAAATTTTACCCCTGGCTCTTTGATTAGTGCAGTCGCAAAATTATTCTCCATAAATTAAAAAATATATATAGTAGAATCTTGTTACAACAAATACCATTACAACAAAATGTTCAGTACAAAAAACTTTCTTCTAAGGCTTGGCAGAAATACTATGGGGTACATGTTATGATTTCTTAATGAAAAATCCCCAATGACGGCAGACACAGTCTCAAATTTTTCATTCAAAATGTGACTGTTGCTGCAAAGGAATGAAATAAAAGACTTTAATTTGTCAATTTTTTTTCTTTTGACATCTATCTACCTTTTCTTCAAGGAAATCATTTCTATAATCCCCGGACTTATTCTCAGCATGACAAATCAAATATTTTCAGATTGAGTACTTTTAAAAGTTGCCTCATAATTCAAATGTTCACTGAGCCTATCCAGAAAAAAGCTCTTCATTTATTTTGAAAAATGTTACCCCTGGCCCTTTGCTTAGTGCAGTTGCAAAATTATTCTCCGTNGGCATCATTCTGCCTTTCTTCGAGGAAATAATTTCTATAATCCCCAGAATTATTCTCTGTATGACATATCAAACTGTTTTCGAATACAGAAACTTCTAAAAGTTGCCTAATAATTCAAATGTTCACTGAACCACTCAAGAAAAAATGCTCTTGATATATTTTGAAAAATTTTACCCCTGGCTCTTCGATTAGAGCAGTCGCAAAATTATTCTCCATAAATTAAAAAATATATATAGTAGAATCTTGTTACAACAAATACCATGACAACAAAATGTTCAGTACAAAAAACTTTTTTCTAAGGCTTGGCAGAAATACTACAGGGTATGTTATGATTTCTTAATGAAAAATCCCCAATGAATGCCGACAGTCTCAAATTTTTCATTCAAAATGTGACTGTTGCTGCAAAGGAATAAAATAAAAGACTTTAATTTGTCAATTTTTTTTCTTTTGACATCAATCTACCTTTTCTTCAAGGAAATCATTTCTATAATCCCCAGAATTATTCTCAGCATGACAAATCAAATATTTTCATATTCAGTACTTTTAAAAGTTGCCTCATAATTCAAATGTTCACTGAGCCTATCCAGAAAAAAGCTCTTCATTTATTTTGAAAAATGTTACCCCTGGCCCTTTGCTTAGTGCAGTTGCAAAATTATTCTCCGTAAATTAAAAAATACATATATACTAGAATCTTGTTAGTTGTTTACGGTAATGTTGTTTTACAAGTCATATTGTTTGAAAAAAGGTTCAGGACCGATAACTTCAGGAATGGTAATAGTATGGATGTCCCCTGTACAATATTTTTAGAGTAATATTGATTGAGTGCAATTCCAGTATAACAAACTTTTTTCTGGGAACATGTTATGATTTCTTAATGATAAATCCCCAATGAAGGCAGACACAGTCTCAAATTTTTCAATTCAAAATGTGACTGTGACCAATTGTTGGGACATAACGTGAAATCAATGATGAAAATTATTTTAAATCCACCTGAAAAAGTTCTCTTTTCCTGGTTTAGGAAAGATGGGGGAAAGTTGAAAAAGAAAAGGAACCCAACCAAACTCAAGATAAAAAGGGTTTCCTTGCTTGAGAAGCAATCTACTGATGCTTGAAAATTGTAAAATTTCTTGGAACATCCACCTTACAAAACTGTTCAGGAATTGCTTAGAAAGTCTCGAAAAAAGTGCTAGTGTGCGTCTGTTATTCAGATTAATAGCTTGCTATTAACATATAAAAATCTTTTGGAAAATATCAATTTTTTTTAATGCTGAGGAATATCAGAAAAAGCCACAGAAGGAATATGATGAAAGTAAGCAGGTTTGTTGCAAATATTTTAACAAGTATATTAAATTTGATACGCTAGCTTTGAGAGAACCCGAATTCTCCGACAAATTCAGTCTTTTATTTCTATCTGTGTGGGGATCTCGGAAGACCTTGGTTCCCACAGATGGTCAGCAGCCTCCAAGGCTGTAATTTATTACAGATGTTTTCTGCAGCCTTCAAGGCTGTATTTTGTTACCAATTTCCATTTGCCGTTTCTTGTCCTTGGAGGACAGTTTTCCTGTTCTCCAAGTTTGTTTTATTTGACACAGTCCGAATCAAACACTCGAGTGTGAACGTTCTCCGAGATTTTGCAAGATTTTCTGTGTGACAATATCATACCAACCTTAAAATAGGGTGTTTTGCACCCCGGTCGTAGCCCGACCAAATTCTTGTGTTTTATTTCCAATCTTCAGTTCAAATTCTAAATTTAAAACCTAACCTTTTCTTTGTCGGGATTTATTCCCAACAAGGTTTAATTCTCAGAAAATCTTACCATCAGTCAAAAAGGTTGCAAATCTCAATATAACAAATAATCATATATTATAACAAAATTTTCCTCAAGTACCCATAAAGAGTTTGTTTTTAAAAGTTTTTACTATATACACATTCATCATCCAAATAGCTATATTGAACTTGCCAACTTGCAAAATTCCCCTTGAAAGTAAATGGGGTAATTTTCGCCTCCCCGCGTATTTTCGCAGATTTTAAAATTAAAATCCCCTCCCACTCAAAAGCAAACCCTCATTTTCTTTTCACACCCTGATGACCCCCATCATAAAATTGCGGTTCACAGAGCCTTTAAAAACCGCAACGTTCCCACACAAGCGGGGAATTGGATTTTAAAAAGGTTTGCAGAAATAAATGCACTCACCGTTGTCACATGAGTGGAAGGCAAATCGTCCCACCGATTCTCATTTCGCACCCTGGGTCCGAACAATTTGGCGAGAGTCCCGTAAACTTTGTTCTTGTGGTTCCCACCTCCTGGCAAGTCCTTGCTTCGCACTCGCTCCACGTCCCCACACAAATCAAACCTACCAAAACAAATAAAATAGAAAATGAAAGAAAAAAAGAATGCATAAAATTACAATATAAATAATTGAGTCATCCAACATTCCCACCAACAAAGATGAGAATCCCAAGACAGATAAAAAAAATAAAGCTTGAATATAATAAAATTACAAAAAGATATTGAGTTATCCAAAATTCCTGAAATTCCCACCAACAAAGATGAGAATTCCCAGACAGATAAAAAAAATAAAGCTTGAATATTTAATTGAAACAGTTCATGTTCAATGTTAGGCTGAATATTCTCACTTTTTATCCACTTTCTGAAAACAAAGATGCCCAAAAAACCAATAAATAAAATTACAAAAAGATATTAATTGAGTCATCCAAAATTCCTGAAATTCCCACAAACGAAGATGAGAATCCCAAGACATATGCAAAAACAATCATGAACAATTGATTGAAACCCCAAAAAAAGTTCTTGAATCACAAAATGCACAGGAATATTTTTTTAGCAAAACAAGTTCATGTTCAAATTTAGGTTGAATAACCCAATTTTAATCCACATTTCTGAAAACAAAAATGCAGAATAAATAAAAATAATAATATAACTGCTGTACATGAAAAAATAATTGAGTCATCCAAAATTCCTTGAATTACCACCAGCAAAGATGAGAATCCCAAAACATATGCAAAAACAATCATCAACAATTGATTGAAACCAAAAAAGTTCAAATTTAGGTTGAATGCCTCAATTTTAGTCCACATTTCTGAAAACAAAGATGCAGAATAAAGAAAAAATTAATAAAATTGCTGTACTGTACATGAAAAAAATAATTAAGTTATCCAGAATTCCTTAAATTACCACCAGCAAAGATGAGAATCCCAAGACAGATGCCAAAAATAAGCATCAATAATTAATTGAAACATGAAAAAAAATTTCTTGAATCAAAAACATGCACAAGAAGAGTTTTTAGAAAAAAAACAGTTCATGCTGTTGAAATTTAGGGTGAAAACTCCCACTTAATTCACATAATTCACATTTCTGAAAAAAAAAGATGCGGAAAAAATGATGAATAAAATTACATGAAAATAATTTAGTTATCCAAAATTTATCATAATTCAACCAAAAAAGAAAAGAATCCCAACATACAGTAGAAAAAGAGCTTGAATATTTATTTATAAAAAATGTTTAAAATTACAAAATTCAAATCAGGAAGGATTTTTAAACAACACAATTTCATGATCAATTTTAGGTTGAAAATCCCCACTTTTTATCCACATACAATATCTGAATACAAAGATGTCAATTGAACACTAAAAAAAATGAACAATGTTTCACTTCAACACTCAACATTTTTCTTTCATTTTTCCACATTTCACTAAAAAATTTCAGTCAATTTAAAAAAAACCCCTCATGGTGTCACTTCATTCAAGCTCAGGGATTTCTTCGAATCATTTTAATTATCACTGAAGGAATTAAATTTTATAGAAACATTAGCAGGAACATAGAATAATTTTTATGTAAAATATTGGACCGCAAAAAGATTTATTCTATCTCATAAACTTCAATGGAGGAGCAATAAGAAGAATTATTAGTGGAATAATAATGATTTACTTATTTATCATCATTCATTTACAATCCCAGAAAATGACGCCATGTATGGAATAAAAGTAAACTATTCAATACAAACTTTTCACTGAGTCTCTCCACTGAAAAAAACTGCAAAATTTCGGTTTTCAACTCCTTCATGCAATTGTCAAATGGATTTTAAAATATGTGCCAAGAAAAAGTTGAGGAATTTGACTCACTTACATATTTGCGTTCATGGATATGTGGAAACACTTGTAATTTATTCTTACCTTTCCTGCTTTCTTCACNCGGTCGTAGCCCGACCAAATTCTTGTGTTTTATTTCCAATCTTCAGTTCAAATTCTAAATTTAAAACCTAACCTTTTCTTTGTCGGGATTTATTCCCAACAAGGTTTAATTCTCAGAAAATCTTACCATCAGTCAAAAAGGTTGCAAATCTCAATATAACAAATAATCATATATTATAACAAAATTTTCCTCAAGTACCCATAAAGAGTTTGTTTTTAAAAGTTTTTACTATATACACATTCATCATCCAAATAGCTAAATTGAACTTGTCAACTTGCGAAATTCCCTTTAAAATTGAATGGGATAATTTTCGCCTCCCCGCGTATTTTCGCAGATTTTAAAATTAAAATCCCCTCCCACTCAAAAGCAAACCCTCATTTTCTTTTCACACCCTGATGACCCCCATCATAAAATTGCGGTTCACAGAGCCTTTAAAAACCGCAACGTTCCCACACAAGCGGGGAATTGGATTTTAAAAAGGTTTGCAGAAATAAATGCACTCACCGTTGTCACATGAGTGGAAGGCAAATCGTCCCACCGATTCTCATTTCGCACCCTGGGTCCGAACAATTTGGCGAGAGTCCCGTAAACTTTGTTCTTGTGGTTCCCACCTCCTGGCAAGTCCTTGCTTCGCACTCGCTCCACGTCCCCACACAAATCAAACCTACCAAAACAAATAAAATAGAAAATGAAAGAAAAAAAGAATGCATAAAATTACAACATAAATAATTTAATCATCCAAAATTCCCACCAACAAAGATGAGAATCCCAAGACAGATAAAAAAAAAAGCTTGAATATTTAATAAATAAAATTACAAAAAGATATTAATTGAGTTATCCAAAATTCCTGAAATTCCCACCAACAAAGATGAGAATCCCAGACAGATAAAAAAAATAAAGCTTGAATATTTAATTGAAACAGTTCATGTTCAATGTTAGGCTGAATATTTTCACTTTTTATCCACTTTTCTAAAAACAAAGATGCCGAAAAAAACCAATAAATAAAATTACAAAAAGATATTAATTGATTTATCCAAAATTCCTGAAATTCCCACCAACAAAGATGAGAATCCCAAGACATGTGCAAAAACAATCATGAACAATTGATTGAAACCCCAAAAAAAGTTCTTGAATCACAAAATGCACAGGAATATTTTTTTAGCAAAAAAAGTTCCTGTCCAAATTTAGGTTGAATACCCCAATTTCAATCCATATTTCTAAAAACAAAGATGCTGAATAAAGAAAAAAATTAATAAAACTGCTGTACATGAAAAATAATTGAGTCATCCATAATTCCTGAAATTCCCACCAACAAAGATGAGGATCCCAAGACATGTGCAAAAACAATCAAGAACAATTGATTTAAACAAACATTCTTGAATCGCAAAATGCACAGGAAGAGTTTTTAGCCAAAAAAGTTCATTTTAAAATTTAGGTTTAAATGTCCCAATTTTAATCCTCATTTCTGAAAACAAAGATGCAGAATACAGAAAAAAAAATAATGAAACTGCTGTACTGTGCATGAAAAAAATAATTAAGTTATCTAGAATTCCTTAAATTACCACCAGCAAAGATGAGAATCCCAAGACAGATACCAAAATAAGCTTGAATAATTAATTGAAACATGAAACAGCATTTCTTGAATCAAAAAATGCACAGGAAGAGTTTTTGGAAAAAAAACAGTTCATGTTCAAATTTAGGCTGAAAACTCCCACTTATATAATTCACATTTCTGAAAAAAAAGATGCGGAAAAAAGAATGAATAAAATTACATGAAAGAGTAATTGAGTTATATAAAATTTATCATAATTCCACCAGAAAAAAAGGAATCCCGACATACAGTAAAATGAACTTGAACACTTCTTTTTTTTTAATGTTTCAAATTACAGAATTTACAGGAAGGATTTTTAAACAACACAATTTCATGGTCAATTTTAGGTTGAAAATCCCCACTTTTTATCCACATACAATATCTGAATACAAAGATGTCAATTGAACACTAAATAAATAAATGAACCATGTTTCACTTCAACACTCAACATTTTTCATTCATTTTTTTCACTTTTCACTAAAAAAATGCAAGTCAATTTTTTTATAAACCACTCATGGTGTCATTTCTTTCAAGCTCAGGGATTTCTTTGAATCATTTTAACTAACACTGAGAGAATTATATGTTATAGAAACATTAGCAAGAACATAGAATAATTGTTATGTAAAATATTGGACTGCAAAAAAATATGTATTCAATGCAGGAGCAATAAGAAGAATTATTAGTGGAATAGTTACGATTTACTTATTTATCATCATCCATTTAAAATCCCAGAAAATGACGCCATTTATGGAATAAATGTAAACTATTCAATAACAAATTTTCACTGAGTCTCTCCACTGAAAAAACTGCAAAATTTCGGTTTTCAACTCCTTCATGCAATTGTCAAATGGATTTTAAAATATGTGCCAAGAAAAAGTTGAGGAATTTGACTCACTTACATATTTGCGTTCATGGATATGTGGAAACACTTGTAATTTATTCTTACCTTTCCTGCTTTCTTCACATTTACTCAACTTTTTTTCCTGGGCTCGTTTCAAAAGTAATTTCCTGAAAGTAAAATACGTAGCTCAAAATTTTCCGGAGATTGAAATTATTTCTCAACCCAGCTGAAGAAAATTCCTTCTCGAGAGTTTTGAAAGAAAATGAAAAAAAATTTGCACACTGAAGAGGGAAGAAAACCGAGTGAAAAGATGTGGATGAAATCAATAATGGAAGGAAAATTTCATTTATTTCTCATTTCTGCAGGATTTTCCAAGAACTGATAAATCAATCATGTTTTTCCTCTTTCCTTTCATCCATCTCCACTTTTCCAATATGTCATTTTTTTATTTATAAAAGACGAATCACACTTTCATTTATTTCTTGCGTCTGCCATTTTTTAAAAATTTTATTCAGTTGTCAAATAATTTCAAGATTCCTCAGCTTCGAACTCAGACGCCATTTTGGCTAAAACAATTATCGCAAAACGGTATCATTTGAATTTAATTTACATTTCTTTTCCATTTTCAGTAAAATAGCTGAATAAATAACTAAAGAGGCCATGACATGAAAATATACAGAACCCAGTAATTTTTAAAATATTTCAACAGCAATAAAATTTCGATAATTGGAAACCAAAGATTCAAATCCACGAAACATTTTTTTGAGTTTGCAAAATCTCTGTGAAAATCGCGAACACTCCAAGAGAAAATTGAATCTATTTTGTTTCCACCTTTCCAATAAGTAATTTTTTTCGTTATAAAAGATGAATCACACTTTCATTTATTTCTTGTATCTGCCATTTAAATGTTTTTTTATTCAGTTGTCAAATAATTTCAAGATTCCTCAGCTTCGAACTCAGACGCCATTTTGGCTAAAACGATTATCACAAAACGGTACCATTTGAATTTAATTTACATTTCTTCGCCATTTTCAGTAAAATAGCTGAATAAATAACTGAAGAGTCCATGACATGAAAAATATAAAGAAATAACGAGTAATCTTCAAAATATTTCAACAACAATAAAATTTCGATAATTGAAACCAAAGATTCAAATCCAAGGACATTTTTTTTAATCTCCGTGAAAATCGCTTCAAGAGAAACTTGAATCTATTTTGAATTGAGCACTTTAAAAATAAATAAAAATCTAACAATTAAAGTAAAAAAAAAACACATTGTGAAGTGAAGCAATGTTCGATAACCCATGATTTAAAAAAAATTCGAATCCATCCCAAGAAACCTTGACCAAAAACAATTTCACATCCCAAGTACCTCGTGAATAAACACGTAAAAAAATAAAAGGCTTTTAAAAACGTCCATAGGGAAAAATTGAAAAAATCTTCCATCAAGAGTTGAAACCTTTTCAGCGAGGTAATAATTTCTAAAAAGAGTTTCGTCACTATTCAAAGTTGTAAATGGACGACATTATCTGAGAAATTTACGCTTCAACACAAAAAAAATGAGAAATTGATGGGATAAAATTCGGACCATCACAAAATCATTGCATCATCATCCAACAAAAAAAACGAATAGCATCATCAAAATAATCGCCATACATTAAAAATCACCAAGGACAGCCTTTAATCATCCATTCTGTAACTTAAAATTTTCTTAAAAAAAAAATGTATTTTCCAATAAAGAAATCCATCACATCCCTCATTTTCTGACCTTGGGGTTATTCCCATTGCAATTCGCACCCCACTGAGATTAAATTACAGATAAAAAAAATTTTTCAACTCAAAAACGGGGTTGAGAAGCAGCTTTTGAAAACCGAATGAAGTATCAAAATTGGAGGAGAAACATTTTGCAAAAAGTAATTTCACTCCAAATTTTTTCAAGTCTTAAACTCTTCATCACATTTTCTTGATTCATTTCAAAGAACTGCAAGAATGAAGCAATTGAACATAAAAATTCACCCAGGGTTGGAAAAAAAAATTATCTTGAAAAAAAAACCATGAGCAGGTAATTTTTGAAAGAAATCAAAGCTTGAGTCATAAAAAAAATCATAAGTCTCAGTTCCATGGTTACCAACTTCAAAATTAGAGGAGAAATATTTTGCAAAGAGTAATTTCACTCCAATTTTTTTCAATTCTTAAACTCTTCATCACATTTTCTTGATTCATTTCAAAGAACAGCAAGAATGAAGCAATTGAACATAAAAATTCACCCAGGGTTGGAAAAACAAAATTATCTTGAAAAAAAAAACCATGAGCAGGTAACTTTTGAAAGAAATCAAAGCATGAGTCATAAAAAAGAACACAAGTCTCAGTTCCATGGTTACCAACTTCAAAATTGGAGGAGAAACATTTTGCAAAAAGTAATTTCACTCCAAATTTTTTCAATTCTTAAACTCTTCATCACATTTTCTTGATTCATTTCAAAGAACAGCAAGAATGAATCAATTGAACATAAAAATTCACCCAGGATTGGAAAAAAATTATCTTGAAAAAAACCATGAAGGTAATTTTTGAAAGAAATCAAAGCTTGAGTCATAAAAAAAATCATAAGTCTCAGTTCCATGGTTACCAACCAACCTTTGAAACATGAATGAAAAGAATAAAATAAATAAAATAAAATGAAGTAAAATAATTGATTGGATTTGGATGTTTTCCTCATCACAAAAAATCAAATATAAAATACTGTATATTTAAGCACACTTTTCCCCCTTTATTTCCATTTTTTTAAATTTCCAAAATGAAAATTGTCAATTTAAATCTACTGTATTTCACTGAGTCGGTTATTTTGAATAAACTGCGCAGTTTTCATTCCATCGAAAAACAGCGAATTCCAAAAACAAGAATCCTGCTCTTTTTTCCGTGCAAAATACCCAGAAAATAAATTTCGCAATTCCAATTGCGGAAATACACGCGTAAAAATCTAATTTTGCATTGTACAGTTGGCACAATTCCTGAGCTTCCCGGAAATTAAAAAAAAAAAAACTGGAACAAGAAGAACTCTTGAACAATAATGAAATCGACAAGCGAGGAAGCGTTGCCAACGTCTGTCTCGCGTCACAATTGGCAAGACAATAAGTCGCTTAAAATTCATTATTTTTCTTTCTTCTTCGTGAGTCGGAAAAGAATTTCATCAACTCCTCTCTTTCTTTTTTTTAAAGGCCCATTAAAATATTTATTGTTTTTGTCGGCAAGTCGAGAACAAACGACGCGTTACGAAACACTTTTTTTTTTAATCTTTTGGCTCTTCATTAACGTCCACAAAGAAAACAAACATCACGAAACTCGACTTTCATTTCCTGCAAAATACACAGAAAAAAATTCCAATTCAGAAGTTTGTTCCCGTTTTGCCCACAGATTTTTACTCGCTGAATAATACATAAATGATGTCGTTTGTACATTGCAAAATAAACGCAGGAAAAATGGTAAAAATTGAATCTCAATTCAAAAACATTTCGCAAGAAAGAATAAAATTTTCCCAGATCTTCCACAGAGATGTTCAGCACAACAGAGAAATAAAACACAATAAAGATGCAATCGCCCTTTTTTTTTCTTGTTGACCAACAATGAAAAATTTCTTCATCGCAACACCTGGTTTATTTGAATAAGCAATGGACACAGTTTGAGTTTGTCCAGCACAGAGATTCAAATCACACCTAATTTGTGATTTTTCAAATTACGTAAAAAAAATTTCTGACCGCTTAATTTGAGTATCATTCTGGGAAAAGTTGGTGCAGTACTTCAAAATTAAGCTTGTGTTGGGTATGCATGCCATGTAAAGTAATGTACAGTACTCTAAACAATTCCTAGAAGTACAAAATAATCCCACAGTGCCAAGAACATCCTGGCACTGCAGCATATTCAAAAATATATTTCTTGCTGATTTGTGAAGTAAAACCTTTTGAAGGTTAAACATAATTAGTAGTTTATAAGCTGCTCCTCATCATATCATCATTTAGAAGAATCATTTTATCAGTTCAGCTGTGTTACTCAAGTTATCCAAGTTATTCTTTCAAGTTGAGTTTGGTGAGTCATTTTATTTAGTTATGCTTTGTGAAATACACTTCTCCCTTTATACTAGGAATTCCTGAAAGGAATTCCTGGTCCTGTCCCAGACTGATTAACGTGTTTTATTATATTTTAATCAACACTCCACTTCAATTTATATTGAAGACATTTGTCCTCAATAGTTTACGCGTTGAAAAATCATGAGTAGTTGAGGATTGTGTCAAAAAACTGGGTTAAGAAAATTGAAAACTGGACAAAATGTTTTTAAAAATTCTCCTTGTGAAAAATCTGCAAATTCAAATATGCTCCTTTTGTCATATTGTGGAAATTTAGCTATCTTCCCCATAGAGATTTCAGTTACATGAAATTGAAGATTTGAAATGAAAGGATATTTAGAAAATTCCACAGAGCGGTTTTTTTCAGTCTGAGGCTTAACCAGAAATTGAATCCTAGAATTAAATTTTTTCTTCTATAGTTGTAGTACAAACACCTAACGTTTGTTATGCCTTGTACAAAAAAATACATCTTTAAAATATTCTTTAAAAAAGGCTGGAAAGATTGGCTCGCATTTCAATTTTTACAGAAAAATGCTTCAAAAATTTTGTTTGAGAACTTGTACAAAAAATATTAATGCAAAATGAGTAAAATGGGGAGAAAAATCATGATCAATAATTATAATTGAATGGAAAGAATCCACTTTTCTTGTACACAAAAAAAAACCAATAAGACAATACAATTTAAATTTACAACACACACTTTCTGAACAAAAATGAAATCGAAATATCATTTTGAAGACTAATTTCAGAGTAACCCGCTCGGAGGCAAATTTTAAAATCTGTCATCCACACATTTTGAACCAAAATCATGATGGAGCCCCATTTGTTTGAAAACTTTTTGAAAGTAATCTTATTGAGGACAAATGTCACCACAATATAAGTTGATGTTGAGTGTCAAGTATTGCAATACAACACAACAATCAATCCAAGACAGGACCAGGGATTCCTTGTAGAAATTCTCAAGTTAACAGGATGAATGTATTTCACAAAGATAAATTGAGAAACAATAACTCAGCACACTCTTTTTGCAGCTAGGATAAGTTGGTTAAAAAATAACTCAAATCAATTACTGATACTGATCTGATCTAGATGAGCTGCTTAAATACTCAGAAATATATTTAACCTTCATTGGTATCTACACAAAAAACCTTCAATAGGTCAGGAATTTAATAGGTCAGGAAATCCCTCAAGTGAAAATTTTAAAAATGGGTTCTCATCATGATGAAATACAGTAGAACAACTATGAAACAACAAAAACCCCAGCTTACAAAGAAAATCATGGAAGACAGAATCACTGTCTGTATACAATACAGTGGAACCTTTGGGTAGCAAACATAATCAATGGGGTAATTCTAATTGTTAAAAATGTAATTATCAAAAAGAAAGGAATAATTTCAAGAACTCCGTTCTATGCATTCCTATCTTTTCAAAGAGTCCTAAACTGAAACTTTTTTTTTGTCTAAATGCATGATTAAACCCCATTTTTAAAATTTCATCTGAGGGGTTGCCCTTGGAAATTCTTCAAACCCATTTTTTAAATTTCCTCTGAGGAAGTTACCCTCAAAAATTGGGTATTAATCATGCATTTGAAAAATTAAAAGTTTTAGTTTAGGCTTTTTGAAAAAAAAAGGATTGTGAAAAGTGAACAAATGAGTTGCCAAAATTATTCCTTCCCTTTAATATATGTTTAATAATTAGCCAAGACCCCGTTGATGAATTTTCCATTTCATTTTCCGCAAAGATGAATAAAATAAATTCATAAATAATCACAGGCAGAGGGGAAAACACACAGAAGAGTGTGGAAGTGGGTGGGGAGATTAGAAGAAGAAAAAAAAAAAAAGGAGGGCGGTCGGATGACTCACTCGCGAAATTCGTCGCCGACGTAGGGGCGCCTCGCCGCCGGGGAAGCGCAGCAATCACTGGCGTCGCCGCCGCAAATCTCGACGCCGGTGGCGTCGTGGAACACCATATCCTCCTCTGAAAAATCTCCCTTCTCCTTCTTCTTCTTCTTCTTCTCCTTTTTTTTATATTCTTCTTCTTCTTCTTCTGATTTCTGCTTGTTTCTTCTTTCTTTTTTTTTGGTAGTCGTCGTTGTCGGAGTCGTCACGCGTCCCACTTGTTCACTCACTCACTCACTCACTTCACTTCACTTCACTCGCTCAAACATAGTCGGTGGAATCCCCATATTTTCATAGTATGTGAGCAGGACATTTCGTTTCACTGCACATGTTTTTTTTTCACTTATTATTTCTCCCCGCCAGCCGAGTGAAAAGCGCGAAAGAACAGGGCGAAAACACGGCGTCACTTTCCATTCGGTTCCTGCGATGCACAGGCACTCATCTGATCCCCTGTGGATAACACACATAAGAGAAAAAGATGTGAAACATATCATTTATTCATGTCCGAGATAAATACTTTTTTTTCTTTTTGCAATATTATATTATATATATTATTTAATATATACTATTTAATATATATTATTTAATATATATTATTTAATATATATAATATTATATATATATATTATTATTATATTATATTATATATATAATATTATATCTATATTATTATTATATTACATTATTATTATATTACATTATATTATTATTATATTATATTATTTCTTTTTGAGAAATATTTGCAGCACCTCATGCAGGTCAGAGAAATTAAGCAATGGAAAGTAATAGTGAGACCCCTCAACACAAAACCTCCAAAAATTGAAACCTCCCCAAGTTGAAATTTTTTCATGGTCCCTAGAAATTTGACTTGGAAAGGTTCAACTGTACTGCTGCTTATTTATAGCATTAAGGTACAGTGAGACCCCCACATGCGGACACCTGGACATGGGGACAATTTGACATAGGGACATTTATTTTTCAATAAAGAAAAATCATAAAAAAGGCCATACATAGGGACACTGACTCAACATGAGGACATTGCATGATAAGATTGCCAATACATTTTAGGAAAATTGACTTTTATTGGGCTTGATTTGCAAGAAAGAGATATTTCCAGCCCTAAGATCTGTGTAAGAAAAATTCTTTGGTACTTTTCCCACCCATTCAGCTAATTAAAAAAATTACCTGTAGCACAGAGGGACTTCCTTCTCTTTTTGTGACTTTGATGTCATTTTTACAGATGCCAACAATTCAATGATCTGTGCAGCAGTATACTATTAAATGCTCCAAATGTTATTGGGTTGAAAGGATATACACTGAATCAAATTCAAGTGGCAAACAAATTTTTCTTCATGGAATTCTGAAGAACATTTCTTCCATAAAACACCAATTAAAAATTATACAATGTAAGTGCTTTGGAACTCAATTCCTCAACTGAGTCAGAACTTCAGGAACCAGTGTAAGATCAGTTGCAAGTTTTAAAACCAGTCCAAGTTTCTGGCAATTTAAAAGGAAAAAAAATCTACCTGCCTTAATTCAACTTAGGGACACTCTTGATGCACCAATTATGTCCGCATCTGGGGGCCTCACTGTAATCACTTTGGAGTAAAGTATATGATAATTGGTTCATAAGTTTTGAGTCTTCTTGAAATATAATTGCAACAATTAAAAAAAATTTGGATAGCCCTATAATTTGGCAACACTTTATTGTCGCTCTCTGGCCAATTTCAATGCATTTTTTCATGCAATAAATCCAACAAACAAATTAATGGAGATGCAGCTTAATCAACTAAAATACTCAAGGAATTTGATTTTTGGCCCTTTTTGATTGTTGGATTTATGGCATGAAAAAATACTGTACATTGAAATTGGCAGAGAGTATGTTGAACAGCAACAAAGTGTTGCCAGATAATGGGGCAAGGCAGGTAGATTTTTTTTCCTTTTAAATTGCCAGAAACTTGGACTGGTTTTAAAACTTGCAACTGATCTTACACTGGTTCCTGAAGTTCTGACTCAGTTGAGGAATTGAGTTCCAAAGCACTTACACTTGACAAATTAGGTAGACATCTTGACAAATTGGGTCTACTACTGCTGCTGACTCAAGCAAGTGACTATATCACAGAGCTCAACACACACAAAATATCCAAAAGATCCCAATCCAGTCAACTGGTGTCTCAATTCAAAAAATAAATTTGACTACAGCATCATCAGATCTCTCTTTCTCTCTACCTTTGCCTCTCTTAAAAATCCCAAGACATCTTATGAAAAATACTGTTTAATTTAAAAAAAGATTAACGCTTCCCTTCCAAAAATAAAACCAAAAATGCTAACAATAGAAAATTCAGTGAATCCAAAAATCCCAACTTGAAAAAAAATCCGATCCAAGAAAGAAAAGTATCCCAGCAGAGAAAACTCGCAAAAAAAAATCACTGGCTTTCATCTAGGAAAAAAAAAATTCATCTGTCTCTCTCTTTCTCTCGAAAAATCTCACCAAAGTGGAAAAATTAAACGAAAGCCTCGAAACTTCACCTTTTTTTTCTCTCTCTCTGCGTATGTGTGCTTTTACTCTTGTTTCTCATCGCTATGATAAACAAAACGTGACGAATAAAAAAAAAAGCGATAGATTTCTTTCCAGTTTTTCCACCAACACTCGGCGGATATTCTCCACCTCCTCCACCAACCAACACCACCACAAAAAAAATATACATTTAAATGAATAAAAATAAAATAGTCTTATTCCATTCAAATCGGGTCGTTAAACCCTGCGGAAAAATTCCTCCACAGCTCAACATTACTCAGGATCCGTCACCAAAAAAAAAGGTGAGTTACTTGCCCTTCGGGCACCAACAGGAAACGCGATTTCCGGAAATTTCCCGTGAATCCAGCGAAAGAAGAAGAAAAAAAATAGAAAAACCACACGAAATCCTCCAGTGACGCCCGCACACACGAAAAAGCCATTAGATAAGACACACACACACACACACACACACTCACTCGAAAAATGATCACAGAAAGACGGACGAAAAGAGAAGCGAAAGAATGTTGGTGGAAAGAAGAGAAAAAACAGCAGTGACAACAACCAAAAAAGGAGGGGGAAAGAAACAAGAAAACAGCAAGATGCCGCGAAGGCCAAGGAACGCATTCAACCGAACAGGAATCCGCACGTCTGTGCCTTGCACGAGCTCCCGAAGGACACAACAGTTACACGCTCCAGCGGTGAAATATAACAAAAAAAATAATGCATATATATATACAGTATAGATAAGTCCCAATGTTTCCCCACCACTTAAGAAATACTCGAAGAGAATACCAGAAAAAATAGAATGAACAGAATCAAAGAATTCCGAAGAAATAAGGGTTCATTGCAGAGCTAACACAAGAAGTCAATTTCCCAAAATTCAAAAAGAAGGAAGGTAATGTCCCAATACTTCCCCCCTTATGAGATCCTCGGGATAATAACACCAACAACAAAATAAAATGAAAATATTCCAGCAAAATGAGGGTTTAATGCAAAGAGAACACAAAAACCAAATAAGAACAGAAGGCTATGCCCAAACCCCCACCCCAAAAAAATATTTAAACTTTAAAAAATAATAGAAGTTCATTGCAGAGCTAAGACAAGAAGTCAATTTCCCAGAATTCGAAAAGGAAGGTTATGTCCCAATACTTCCCCCTTATGAGATCCTTGTGATAATAACACCAAAAATAAATAGAATGAAAATATTCCAGCAAAATGAGGGTTTAATGCGAAGAGAACACAAAAATCAAATAAGAACAGAAGGCCATGCCCCAAACCCCCCCCCCCCCCCTAGCAAATATTTAGACTTCAAAAAATAATAGAAGTTCATTGCAGAGCTAACACAAGAAGTCAATTTCCAAAAGCAAAAAGAAAAGAAGGAAGGCAATGTCCCAATACTTCCCCCCTCATGAGATCCTTGGAATAATAAAACCAAAAATAGAAATAAATCGAATAAAAATATTCTAGCAAAATGAGGGTTTAATGCAAAGAGAACACAAAAACTAAATAAAAACAGAAGGCTATGCCCCAAACCTCCCCCCCCCCCCTAGAAAATATTTAGACTTAAAAAAAATAGAAGTTCATATCACAGCTAACACAAAAAGTCAATTTCCCAAAATTCAAAAAAAGGAAGGTAATGTTCCAATACTTCCCCCGCTTATGAGATCCTTGAGATAATAGCACAAAAAAAAATACAAATAATAAATATAATAAAAATATTCTTGCAAAATGAGGGTTCCATGCAAAGAGAACACAAAAACTAAATAAAAACAGAAGGCTATGCCCCAAACCCCCCCCCCCCCCCCCTAGAAAATATTTAGACTTAAAAAAAATAGAAGTTCATATCACAGCTAACACAAAAAGTCAATTTCCCAAAATTCAAAAAAAGGAAGGTAATGTTCCAATACTTCCCCCCTTATGATATCTTTGGGATAATAACACACAAAAAATGAAAATAAATTTAATAAAAATATTCTAGCAAAATGAGGGTTTAATGCAAAGAGAACACAAAAACTAAATAAAAACAGAAGGCTATGCCCCAAACCCCCCCCCCCTAGAAAATATGTTGACTTCAAAAAATAAAATTACTGTAGTAAATAAACAAAGTGAAAAATTCCAGAGAAATAGAAGTTCATTGAAGCAGAGCTAACACAAGAAGTCAATTTCCACAAATTCAAAAAGGAAGGAAGGTAATGTCCCAATACTTCCCCCGCTTATGAGATCCTTGAGATAATAGCACCCAAAAAACTAAAATTAAAAAAAATTTAAAAATATTCTTTCAAAATGAGGGTTCCATGCAAAGAGAACACAAAAACTAAATAAGAACAGGAGGCTATGTCCCAAACCTCCCCCCCCCCCTCCCTAGAAAATATTCAGACTTCCCTTGGACATCTTTGAACAATAACACTCAAACTAGATGAATAATGTAAGAAGAAAAAAACTATTACACTAAAATAAGGGCAACAAAGCACAAAAAACCAGGTGATGCATCAAAAAACAAAAAAGGAAGACTATGTCCCAAACCTTCCCCCTCCAACATCTTTGAACTTCAGAAAATAAAATGTATGAATGGACCAAACCAAATGACACAATACAAGAGAAATAACGGTTCATTGTAGAGTTAAAACTTCAAATTAATTTCTCAAACTCTAAAAAAGGAGGATA